CGATCTCCGTGCTCCGCCCCCTTCCCTGGGACATCTGCGACCACTCAGGCCGACCAGGAGAGGGTCCAGGGGTGCAGGGGTGCAAGGGTGCAGGGAGCCCCTACAGTGGAGCCGTCGGGAGGGGCGGAACCGAGCCATCCAGGAGCAAGGCACCGGGTCTGGGACGCAGAGCTGAGCGCGCAGGAAGCAGCAGGCTGCGGCCAGGGCCTCCCGGGTGACAAGGCCCTGCGTGGCGGACAGAAGCAACCAGCAAGAAGCAGGAAAAGGCCGGACCTGGAGGGGCAAGCTCCTCACTCCCGCACCTGCACCGAGAGAACCCAGAAACTAAGAGCACATCCCCCCACCTAGGACAGACATTGCCTTCAGCGCACCCCTGTGTGCAACAGCTGCGCTCTGCGGGAAGGGGTCCTCGCTGCTGCGTCTGGATGGCCACCCATCCCCCTAACCCAGGCCTCTAGGCCTTGGAGAGGAGCCCAGCTGGAAAAGAGGCCACACTCCTCGCTGCCCGCCCTGGAGAGGACGACGCTTCCGCGGTGCTCCCAGGCCCAGGAGGAGCTGGGCCAGCAACAGTGGGGACCTGGCCCCGCAGGCAACAGCGGCCATGTCACGGCCAGGCCAAGGTGTGATGGTGCCGGTGAACGGGCTGGGCTTTCCGCCGCAGAACGTGGCCCGGGTGGTGGTGTGGGAGTGGCTCAATGAACACAGCCGCTGGCGACCCTACACGGCTACCGTGTGCCACCACATCGAGAATGTTCTTAAGGAGGATGCCCGGGGCTCCGTGGTCCTGGGCCAGGTGGACGCCCAGCTGGTGCCCTACATCATTGACCTACAATCCATGCATCAGTTCCGTCAAGACACAGGTGAGTAGATCTCTACGAGGGCCAGGCTAGCCTCTCACAAGAGGGGCGGGAAATGCAACAATTCCCCCCTCCCAGCATCCCTGAAAGGGGAACTTGGGGTTCCGAAGATCTTGTTTGCCAATTAGGCTTCTTACCTCTCCCTCCACTGGGAAAAGGGACGGTGTGGCCTGCTCCAGGTTAACACTTTGGTTCCAGCCCTACCTCACACTAGTTTGGGGGAATGTGGATAAAAAGAATCAGCTCTCTGAACCTCAGTTTCTTCACCTGCAAAGTGGGTAGATCTCCGTCTCTCACAGCTATGTAGAGGTTTTTTTTAAAGCAAGTCCCCCTCCCCCGGCACTGAGACCCTCAGTGCTTTAACACACCCATTTACCAAACTCACAGGTTGTTTGGTTTCTCTCCACCAATCACAGGCAATAAGTCTTTTTGATTCCTAGTGAGGCCATTTTACAGGCAAAGAAACTGAGTCCCCCAGAAGCTGAGTGAATTGCACTCAGAGCTGGTATCAAAATCCAGACAGTTGGGAGTCCAGTGCTGGCATGGTATGATGGCTGCAGGTGCAGGGGGGAGGAATGGGATGTGGTCATGGTCCAGGTGATGCCTGGGAGTAATGGTGTCCATGGTGGGGGTGGGGTCATAACGGAGGAGAGTGTGATGGTGGCTTGGTGATGAAGGGATGCTGAGGGATGGTCCTGCTCGGATTATGTTAGAAGTGACCTGTGATGCAGGAGTGGGGAGAGGGGGGAGTCGCTGGCTATCTTGGTGACCCCACGGGGTGGGTGGTGGCTGCTGATGGTGGTCTTGGTGGCTGTATTTGTAGTACAATAGTAACAGTGACGTTAAAGATGGCCTCACTCTCAGGCCGTCTCTCCTCCTCCGGGGATTTGTCACCTCTGTGGAGAGTTTCTGCCACATCACCAGGCGGCCTCTGAGACACACAAGACAGGCACTGCGCAGTGAGGCCCTGCCTTGTGGGAACCTTGATGTGTTTGACCTCCAGGGGCAGTGATGGGGGCTGGAGAGGCCTCATTACTTCCCTGGGTGACTGCTGCAGGCAACTAGCTTGGGGACAATAGAATCTTTCTCCTCCCAGCATGCAGGCCACTAACCACCTGTAGCTATTTCAACTCACACTAGTTAAAAATATGTCAGCGTGTAGCCACACTTCAATCACTAGAGAGTAGGACTAGGCAGGGTACAGTGTGGGCCCAGACCTTCTGGGGCTACAAGTGACACCTACAGACATCCAGACACCCAGGGGATGCCTCTCCAGAAGTCCATTAGTGTGACATTTCAGTGTATCTGTTTCCATGGCTTCAAGCACCAGCAATACCTGTCATAAGGACATTACTGTGTGCTGTAGTGCTGTGCAGAGCCAGACCCTTCTGAGCAAGGATTGACCACTGATAACCATCTCTGTGTGGCCAACGAGCAGGCAGGAGGAGCCTGTGGGTACTTGGGAAGACCAGTCAGGAAGTGGTGCTCCCAGAAAAAGGTAATGGCTGGTGCAAAGGTCCTGGGGTGAGAAGGAACTGAGGGTGCTCATGTTTGGGAGGCAGAGGGGCTGCCTCCAGATGAGTAGATGTAGGCCTGGATGGTGAGAAGGACTTTGGGTTTGACCCTAGACTCTTTCTCAGGAGGAAAGGAGGGTGGGGATGAGGTCTGAGAGGAGAAGGGGGATTCCCCTCACCTTCACCTTGGCTTAGCTTTCTGTAGCCTCAGAGTTTTGGTTATAGAGATTTTCGAGGACTGAACTTGGAGGGTGGAGGTCCTGAGAAGCAGAAACAGTGCCCCCCCCAGCTCTCAAATTTGTACCTTTGCCTGTGGGCCCTCCCCTGGGGCCTCCTTCAAGTCTCATTACCCCCACTTCAGCTCCCAAATCCCGAGGCCCGGGCCTACTCCATCCCCCTGACTCTCCATAGCACCCTTCTGTGGTCCAGTCTTCAACTCCCAACCTCTCTCTTGAGGCCTTACCTGGCCTGTGAGCTAGAAATGAGACCAGGCTTCTGGGTACCTGCCAAGGACCCCCACCCACCCAGCCAGCCAAGGAGAAGGAGGTGGAGCTAGAAGAACTGGGAAGCTAGGGGCTGCCTCTCACAGACAGACCAGCTAGGCTGAGCTACTTAGGAAAGGCCTCTGGCCCTCACTACCCAGTTCCAGGAAAGAACCAAGATGCATACAGGTCTCCCTTCTGCTCCGACCTGCTGGGAGACCAGGCCAGATGGCCTCACCTCCCCAGGCCTCAATTTCCATATCATGTCAGGAGCAGGTCAGAGAGAACAGAGTCTGTTGCACAGACCAACAACTACCCTATCCCAAACCCCTGAACCCGCACCAGGGCACACTGTGGGAGAGGGGGAGGTAAATCCAAATGTCAGGGGCTGGGAATTTTGCTCAGTTGATAGAGCAGACATAGGCAACGTGTCGGTGCACGCCGATTATCCCAGCGTGGAAGCAGGACGACCAGAAGTTACAGGTCATGCTTGGCTACATAGTAAACTCGGGACTAACCTGGCATTCATGTCTCAAAAAACAAAACAACCCACCAATGTAAAGCCATAAAACCAGAAACTCGCATACATGCACCAAAATGCACAGAACTCCTGTCTAGACTTGCTTGGTACCTAAGTTCCTGGAAGCTTCTGGAAGCTGCTCTGCCCTCGGGTGGGGAAAAGTGAGTCTGGTTTTGCCCCAAAGCGGGAGCTGGTAGGTTTTTTTAACCTTGTGGGGACCCACACCCTGTCACTGGAACATATGCACTGCTTGGGACACAAGCAAATGAGCAACTGTGGCTGGGTTGAGATAAACACTTGTGGCCACCACTGACATTTGAAGTCTGTGCCATTTTCATGGCTCATAAAGTATTATTACTTTTTTTACAACTGTTTGAAAATGTAAAAACCACTCTCCATTCTTAATCTCTGTGGAGGCAGAGGGTGGGTGCGTCGACCTCCGCCCCGCCCCCCAGCAGTTCACCCCACCCCCACACCCTGCCAGAGCACCTTCTAATCTTGCCTCTGGGATGTGACAGGGGCTGACACCCCAGCACCCCCAGCATGATGTAGGCACGCCTCAAGATGTGCCAGACAGAGCTCATGTTCAGCACAAACAGACACGCGGCCCGCAGCCTGCTCATCAGCCGCACGGCAACACACAAGTATCCTGTCTGCCTGCCTGCTCTGCTTGGCAGCCAGCAGAAGGGGAGGGGTGGGGAGGGGAGGGAAAGGGAAGGGAGGGAAAGGAAAGGAAGGGAAGGGAAAGGAAGGGAAGGGAAAAGGGCCAGATGTCAGGCTTGGGGACAAGTGGTGAGGACAGACCTGTCACACAGAGACTGCTGTTTATTCAGCTGCCCCAGATGTTTCCAGCCCTACCCATGGAGGAGGGGGAGGGAAAGAGGGGAGGTTCCCTTTGAAACCCTCCAGGCTATGGCCCCCCACATGGAGGCAGAGGATACATCCCTGGCCATGGGATATTAGACCCCTAACAGATAAACCCCCCTGGCTGCTTGCTAGTGTCTCCCTCACACTTCCATCTGGGTGGCCTTGCTTTGCTTCTCTATCCTGAAATTTGAACCCAGGACCTCACACACACTGGCTCTGCCCCTGAGCTACAGGACAACCCTCTTTAGTATTCATTTGGAGACAGGCTCTACCCAGCTGGCCTTGAACTTGTGGCCTTCCTTCTCAGTCTCCTGAGTGGACGGGGGTGACGGTCCCACACCACCGGGCCCACCTGGTCTCCCAAAGCTTACCCCTTTTATCTGGAGCTCCCCCTGCCCCCCAAATAGGTGATTGTAAATGGACAGTCAGGCCTGGAGGGGTTTGGACAAGTGGGCTCACAGAGGCTGAGGAGCCACCAGGATGTGTGGGGGTGAGGGGTGTGGAATGGCTTTCACTCCCACGCACAACTTCTCTGAGGTCTGCAAGGTTTAGACTCCAGGTAGGAAGATGGAAACCCAGAGACAGTGAGTCACTTGCCCAGGATAGCACAGCTTAGCAGCCCCAGGGTCTCCCACAGACCCACTCCACACAGCTAGAGACGGGACGGGTGGATAGCAAACTCCATGGTCTCTGTGGCCAGCAGGGATAGAGAGCTCCTATGTGACAGGCGTCTCCCATCTTCCTCCCCCTCCATTCTGCAAAGGGACAGCTAAGACAGATACCATGCCAGAGGCTCCTCCACCAGTCTCAAAATGCTTGACTGGAGACAGGCCAGTGGGGGGAGGGGTGTACACCCCTTCCTTGGGCAGCCAGGACTCCCTCGCCCCAAATCCTGACCTGGGTAGGTCCTGCCTGGAACACTTAGACTGAGGGGGATGACTGAGGTCACCCAGAAAGGAAGGGCAGATGTTGCCATGGAAAGCACCCCCAATGTTTAGAGTCCAGATGGGATGACAAAGCCCCAGAGAGGGTGAGTAACCTGCCCAAGGTCACACAGTTTTTTACTCTCGAACCAAAACTAGGCTCCTATGTCAGGTCTCAGGGATGAAGGTGATGGCTGGCTATCCCTTCTCCCTGTCCCCTCAGAGTTCTGTTGGGCTTGTTGTTGGGGACATCCTAAGTTGCCACGGGGCCTCTAGGGCCTGAGCCCCAGAGTCCCTGACTCCCGTGCCTCTGGGGCCCTTTCCTAACAAATCTAGGACTGGGCTTGATGCCAGAGCAAAAAGGACTAGAAGGAGGTTCCTATTAGGTTTGGCTAAGCCATCCACAGGGTGCCATGTGTCCCTGGGTCCCTGCCACAGCCCACAGTACCTCCCTGTACTGTCCTTTGGGGTCTACTATTGGCTAGGTCCAGGAGCCTCCTGGTTGCCCAACTCTATCATTATTCTACTGGACAGCCATTATTGCTATCTAGGGCCTGGTCCTGGGCTGGGTCTTGGGGATCTCAGAGAGAAAGACAAAGTCAATCCATTTCAGATCTTATCAATCAATATCAAATCTGTGTCAGAGTTTAGGAGAGATAAAAGCCAGCACATCATAGAAACGACTTATGAGCCCAAT